CGTCAATTTCACTCTCACTCTTGTAAGCTCACAATTTCCAGAGACATCTGCAGATTTGACTCAGGTGGGGATGGGGAAAGGTGAGGCCCATCTCTCCGGCCACTTCACCGCCATGCTGCTAAAGGGCGATGAGTGTCGGGAGTCTTTCCAGGTTGGGGGCCACAGTCGCGAACACAAGAGAGAAAAGCACCGCGTCTCATAGAGCTTCTATTCTAGAAAGAGCCAATAAATAGGAAAATGATACTGCGACGCGGGGTTTCAGACGGTGGTAAGAGCAGTGGGAAACGCGAGAGTGGAGTCAAGCAGTTGTGTGTGGTTCTGTGGTTCTGTGCCTGTGAGCACACGGGCGCTCAGGTCTGCGCGTGCAGGTGTGTTTAGGCACCGCCTGTGTGTGCCGTGTGCACGCACACGTGGATGCCTGCGACGCATACTCACGGATGTGTGCGACACCCGCGCTCAGGGCGTGTATCTGCTGTGTGTGAGTGAGCGCATGTGGTTGTGCACGTGCTGTGTGTGGTGTAAGAATGTGCACACGCATGCCGGTGGAAGTAGCCGGAGGCACGTGTGTGCAGGGTGTCCGTGTCCATGCACCTGGGTCAAAGGGGATCATCTGGTGGTGAATGGTTGCAAATGCAAATTAAAACTCTTGAGACGCCCTCCCTGGTAGTGCAAGGGGTTAAGCTGCTCACAGCACGAGTTCCATCCCCCACCAGGGAGCCAACCCACATGGCCAGCAGACCTCTCCTGCAGTCCCTGCTCCCCTCAGCAGTGGACTTCAGTGGACCTGCCTGTTCTCCCCACTCTGTCTCCTGTGAATGCGCTCACCAACACCCCCTCCCACCTCTGGCCTGTACCCCAGTTCTTGTGTGCATAAATAAATAAATCTTTAAAAAAAAGGCTCGGCCCTCCCTGGTGGCTCAGCGGGTTAAAGCACAGCACTGAGAATCTAAAGCCGATTTCGCATGAGTTCGATTCCTGCCTGCCCGGGAAGTGACCACATGGCGCGGCAGACCTCTCCTGACCCGCCCGCTGCTCCCCTCAGCAGTGTACTTCATCGTTCTGCCTGTTCTGCTCCCCACTCTGTCTCTGGTGAAGCCTCTCACCGCCTCTGAGCCTCTGGCCTGTACCTCAGTTCTGTATGCAAAAATAAATAAATCTTTAAAAAAAAAAAAAAGGCTCTTGGGAGAACACAACACACCAGGCTTATTATTCTGACTATGAGAGGCGGGTGCTGCCGGATGTTTGGCGTGCACCCCAGGGGTGTGGGAGCCAGACCCACGCCTGCCAAAATCTAAGTGGCCAGGGAAGAACCCAGTGAGGGATCACTCTCAGTCGAGCAGCGGGGTCCTCGAACTCGACCTTGTGTGACTGAGCTTCAAGGTCACCAGGATGCCCAGCCTGGCACAGCAGGTGGCGCTGGACACAGCATCAGGACAGTCCCCCGGCGGCCAGCAGCAGTGGCCCTCGGGACTGCCTGCTCCGTGGACTGCCCCTTCAGAGGAGGTCCGTCTGTCCGTCCACCACCATCCCCGAAGGCTGCACCACGGCCTTCTGCGTGCATGGACTTGAACAGCTCCGTCTGCTGCCTGCGGGGGACGCAGACTTTCACCCCCGCTCATCACCAAGAAGCCCCGGGGGTGGGGGTGTCAGTGCCCCCCCCCCCATGCTCACAGTGGATTCTTTACAAAGGAGGAAATCAAATTCCAGCCTTGCCTTTCTTAGTGCAGAAATAGCAGGAGCCTGCGTAGGCCAAGAGAGCTTAGCACCTCAGTTCAGGGTAGTCACATCCCAAGGATGCCCTTGTCCTACTGTGTGAGTTGAATTAGAATTTGTGATTGTCAGAAAAGTTCTCAACATCTGAATGTTTCCCAGGTTTGAGTTTCACTTTGATAATCTAGTACACTCCTTGTCTCACTACCATTGAGACTTCTGTAAACACTAAATCTCAAAAATTCTGGAGGGATTAAGTAGAGAAAAAAGGCGAACGTTTCCTCTTGGCTTACAAGGTATGCTGTGTGTCACTGAGCACTTAAGAGAAAAGATCTTAAATCCAGTTCAGCTTGATGATCTCAACATGATCAGAACCTGTATTCAGGAATCCTCGTCAGAGTCCTTTCCATGAAACACTAAGATGAAACACACATACGTCATCATTCATGAAAAGCATCAGAGTAAAAAAAATAACCAGCGGGGACGGGCAAGAGACTTAAAATAAAATGCCCTTGGCTGATGAGAACTTATAATTGACAAGGAAATCTGGCTGCCTAAGTGACAATTTTTTTTTAAAGATTTATGTATTTATGCACACAAGAACTGGGTACAGGCCAAAGGTGTAGGGGTGAGAGGATTCACCAGAGACAGAGTGGGGAGCAGAACAGGCAGATTGACGAAGTGCACTGCTAAGGGGAGCAGTGGGAGAGGTTTGCGGCACCCTGTGGGTCAGTTCCCTGACTGGGGATTGAACTTGAGTCACAGTGGCTGTGGAGAGCCTCACAGAGCTGTGCTTCATCCAACCCGCTGTGCCACCAGCGAGGGCCCGTACGTGACATGTTAACATCATAACCAGAACTGCACCTGACCATAGGTTACCAGGATCTCAAACTCAGAAAGCTTCGTGTTGTTTCTTGTGGGGTGGGGGTGGCTGGCATGTGGTGTGGACACACTCAGCAAGCCCACGATGACGAGGCTTTAATCTGTCTTTTTTGCTAAGAGACAGGACTGATTCTCTGGGATCCGCCTGCATCCTCTGAGCTCAGTGCTCGGTCAAAGACTTCAATCTAGCGTTTGCTTTGGGGAAATTTGTTAAAAGTCTCAAAAGAGTTTAAATCAGTTGGTCAAAAGGATCACAGACCACTGAAAATGGCTTTATTATCCATTTATCTGAAGTGACAAAGAATTCATAGGCAGATGAGGAAGCTCTAAGTGGTTCTGACATAAACTCGGCTCTTAAAATTGAGAAGAGTACATTTACTCACTTACACAGAGACTCCGTGTTAAAGATAACAAGGAGCACAGAATCTTTTTTCTACGTTGATTCCTTAAAAGATAAGGTACACCCTTCACCACCTGTTATTAAGAGATAAAAATCCAAAAAAATCTCATCCTTAGAAGAGAGAAACCCAAATTCTAATTTTTACCAGTGTATTTTTGATATTAAAATTCACTTTAATTTTAGTCAGCTTGATCACACATAAACTTTCTTCTCTGTGATTCCTCTTTCACAAACTTTCTATAACTTCCCCTTCGAATGCAGATAGTGTCCTGTGGCCTTAACTACCTTATTTCAGAACAAAATGACTTTCTTTTCATTCAACAAAATAGCTCTCTATTGCTTACATCTCTCTTACTGCAGACACACATATACAGTTCTTTGTATATAAAGATTTTTTATTATTTCCATTTGTTTTAATGACATATTTCAATTATACTTCTCAGCCCTGAAGTCTTAATTTCTAGTAAAATGAAATAAACAAGCATGGACTGTGAAACTCACATTCTGTTGATTGGCAAACTCATAATGACTTTAGAGATGCATTATAATTTTTTAGAAGTATAATTTTAATATTTTTCTAGAAGTATAGCCTTCCTAACAGTAAATTTCCCAATGTGCACAAAATTAGTAGACCCTAATATCTTAAATTTTGCAGTAATAGGCCCTCCCTGGTGGCTCAGCGGGTTAAAGCACAGCACTGAGAATCTAAAGCCGCTTCCGCATGAGTTCGATTCCCGCCTGCCCCGGAGGTGAC